GAATTTGTTAACAAATTCCACTTTTGTTTTTTTTTATCTTTATGAGTTGTGTTGACTTAATGCCTCACGCTTCTATTCCATTTGGTTCGAAATTTTTATGAGTTTCACTGCAAAGTCTACAGCAGAAACAGATTGCCGGCTACGGATATTTTACACCTACTTGCCCAGCCCTTTCCTCTTCCATTCCGTGTAAAAACAAAACCAGTTATTATAAAACTTTAAGTAACATTTAAAACATTTTATGTTTTGTTTTTCTTTTTTTAAAGTTGCAAAAAATAAACAATAATTTTTAATAGAACTTCAGCAGCTCCAAACTTCGTCACCGACATTCGTTCAGGTTTGAAAATTTCAGTTTGATTGCTTGACTGACGGCGGTTTTTAGTTCACTTGTTACCGCAAATATTTCTCATATTTTCGCTTGAGTCAAGAAAAACTGAAAAATAAAAAATTTTTTTTTAAAAAATGTTATTTTGCATTAATTAAAAGTTGTTCACTTCACTTCAGTTCACTTCCAGTCGAAGTTGGTCAATTGCATTCTATGACTGGCATTCTTACATATTAGCAAATATTTTTTCTTGCAAACTTCATTCGCCAGTTTTTTTCTTTCCGACTGCATAATTTTTTTCCTAAGCTGAAGTAACTTGTTAAGCTAAGAGTTCTTGATTTAATAGTGTCAGTTTTTTTTTTGTGTTTACTTCACAAATATTTTTCAATTCTGGTTCAGATCAAAGTTTATCTAGCAAAAAAAAGACTAAAAATACAAATTTAGACGAAATTAGAGCATTTTAATAACGTTTGCGTTAATTTATCTGGCAGAACTTGTTTATTTAATTAATATCTTTTGCACCAGTTTTTTAAAGAAAAAATATTTAAAATGTTCTTACTAGAGTGCAAATGGAGCGGAGCACTATGTTTTTGCGCCTATGCTTAAATAATGGTGTATGCTGACAAACAGATTGTGAAGAAAACACACTGTTGATGATGAATGAGAGGAATCTATTAATCACTTTTAATGTCTATGTTAAGGCGTACAGATGAAACCTCTTCAATATGTGGGAGATCGTTTCTGTCGCTAGCCTAGTTGAGTTAACGTAAGTAAACTTATTGGATCTCCTTAACTGCATATCGAACACCAAATGTTTTAACAAGAATATCATGATGTTATAATGGAAACAATGTTAAGGAAAGCTCACCTCCCCCTGATTAGTTTGAGTCAACCCCATTGGCAAATTGTGCAGAAGCTACCCTGACAATAAGAAAAGAGAGCCTATCAATCACTTTTAAAGTCTTTATTATAAAGTACAAGCAAGCTCTTCTTAAGACCTTTGATCCACTTGATTGACGACGACTACGACATTCTAATGAACCATAAGCTGTACAAACCCTATTACGACATTGATATAATTCAGTGGTGGCTGGATGAAGTTGCTACATTGTAAAAGGTATTTGAAGCGGTAGTTGTAGGAAAAAGACGTAGAGGTAGACTGTATTTCCGGTAGAGTGATCGAGTTGAGGGAACACTGGCCAGACTTGATTGATGAGACTGGAGAATAAGCGTACGCAGCAGATGCGCCTAAAGAGACATGCTGCATCAGGACAAAATCCGATAACGGGTTATTATGGCCAATTAAGTAATTAAGTAAGTAAAGCAGTACAGATGAAGCGTCTTCAATTTGTAGAAAACCACATTTAGTATATAGTTATACCTTTTGCTGGCAATTTTCAAAGCATCACAATGGTCAATATATGGTAGATTATGCAGAAGCTGCTCTGATAATGAGTAAGGAGAATTTACCAATCAGTTTTAATATTTTTGTTAAAGAGAACAGGTGGCCCGGCCCGTCTTCAATGTATGGTTTTTTTTCATTAGAAGACCAAATGTTTTAACAAGTTTATCATACGAAGTTATAATGGAAATAATATTAAGTATAGCTTACATCCCACTGATTACTTTGAGACCACTCCGTTAGGTAATATTTGGCACAATATGCAAAAACTGCCCTGAGTATCAAAAAACTATGAATCTCTATTGAAGTCTTTATTAAAGAGTATATATAAAACAGTTTCAATGTGTAAGAAAGGGGTCTAATCAGAGACCAATCAGAGATAATGAAATATTTAAGGTTTCAACTAGAGTTATAATGGAAACAGCTTAGTATTGTGCCTGAACAACTTAAGATGTATCATAATGGGCAATATATTATATGTCAATATATTATTGCAAGTGTTATTAGCTTAACACTTTTAAATTTTAACTTTAAATATTACTATATAATTCTAAAACCGTTAAAATAATTGAAGAAAAAGTATTGGGACTGTATATGAAATTGGAGGTATTTATATCCATCAACAGCTAGCGTGCTGTTAGGTTTACGTATATGCTGGCAGTGAAGAATCACTGTCCCGGAAGTCGTAATTTATAGACTCTCCGTTGTCTTGCTTGGACAAATCATTTTGAATTGCACAAGCAAGTAGATATAACATGCTTATAGACTGTTGGAGATTTGAGTACTTATTGAAAAAACCTTTGCTATATATATGGCACATAACAAACAGAAGTATATTAAATAAAATTTAATTTTGACAATAGAAAACTAGTTTTTTTTTATTAGAAGGTTTTCGAACAGTAGTGAATTACTACAACAAAATTTTATTATTTCTTAAATGATTGGAATTTAATGGCTGACCATGCAGCTGTTTTAAATATTAACAAATACTCATCAGTTATCTTTGGAAATATACATTATTTCCAAAGATATTAGTCCATATATATTTGTTGAACTATAAGTGCTAGACATAAGTACCTAAACCTGTCAAATTAAAAGCAATGACTTAATATGTTTTAGACAAACGAGCCAAAGCTGCACGAAACTTTCGTTTTCATTATTCAAATTTCAAGTTTCTTATTTGTTGTTTCAAATTTTCTCGAAGATAAAAACTAAGGTACTTGTTGTGCTTATAAATTACAACTTATAGAAATTGTAAACAATTTTTATAATTTTATAATTATAAGACTTTAGTATTATTGTTGTAGAGAACCCTGTCAAAATTGAAACGTATACTCTTAGGTTAGACAACTTAACTAATGATTTATGCTGCTCAAGCTTTAGTTTTTTCTGGTTCATTCTTTTTAATACTAAATACAATATTTACTTTTTTTAATTTATTTACTTAAATACTACATTGTAATATTTTTATCGAAATTTAAAACTTAACAAAGAATATATATTTTTATAAATTAATATATTTAATTAAAAGTGCAGAGACAAAATATATTCTCAGTTGTTAATCTATCTTCAAGTGTTCTCATTAATTTCCTAACATTTGGTTTAAAGTCGAAAATATGCTATATAGTATCTGCGAATATTTATATATCAATGTATGGCATAAATCAATCAAATGAAATATGTGTGCTAATATAATACTGCATGTTATCAAATTAAAATTATTTTTATTTAATGTTTATTTTAAGTTGAATAATCACGATGTATATATCATTCATTACCTAGAATTTGAATTTCAATTCTCAGAAAAAAATATACCCTTTGCTTTAATAGTATAACAGGTGTTTAAAACGTAATATATTTACCTGACTCATATCGTGTGAAATATATTGTTGGGTGGAGTCGACCTAATCATTAATATATATACACTTTTAACACTGTAATTAATTTATTATTGTAATTCTTTACATAAACGTAAAATTTTGCAACTGTTGTTTTTATAAACATATTTTTAACAATTATTTATTACTATAAAAAATAATAATTATTATGTAAATGTATTGGTTCCGCTGAGCGTATGAGTAATTAGTCAAATATAACATATTTTGTTAAATAAAAATATACTTGCAATTATTGATATTTTCACATAATCAATGTATATTTATTTACGTTTTTGCACTAATATATACAGCCTTTTGTTAAATTTAATCTTATTGGGCTCTTATCATATTTGATATTTATCATTTACCAAAAAATATTTTATAGCTGAAAAAAGTTCATTAATTTTGAGTTAATATGCAACATTTTCATTGAAAGATTAGATAAAATTTTTTTCACTTATAAGTTTTGAGTTATATATAGTCTGATATTGATTATTAATTTTCATGAGTCAATATTACAACAATTTCTGCCAAGTTATATGCATACTTATTGTTCATATTGTTTTTTGATCCCCTCTTTTAATTTTTAAGCTCTTAAAAGTTTATTTAATAAGTAAAATAAAATAAATTCATTTCTTACGTTATTATTATTATCTTTAATGAAAAGTCTGTGGTAGTTACTTGTTATTCTTGTTTTAAAGACCTTAGTCGGTTGCAAAGTTCTACCAAATTTTTTATATAATATAACAGGTCCCAATTACATTATGTTTATGAATATTAACTATTTATATATTCTTTTAGATCTGTTATTTTTTGTTCTTATTTAAATATTTACAAACAAATTTCTAAGGGTTTACGATAATAGGTACTATGTTCGGAAATTTTAGGCTTCGATACCTCTTCTCTGTAAGTTTTTCCCAACATATTTTTGTTTATTTTCTATATATACTTTAGGTTATGGCTATATCAGTGTCATATCTCTTTTTGATCTCAACAGTTATTGTTAAATTATGGTTGCGTTATTTTACGACTTCTGGTTTAACTTTATAATACAATTTACATTTGTATCGTAATTCATTAATATCCAACAGCATCCATTAAGACTTTGAATTTATTCTATTTATGCTGGAGATCTCTAAGTATATAAAAAGGTCGTCATTTCTATAGTTATATTTACAATAATAAATTTTCGTTCTTCAATCGGTATTGATGTCACTCATATATTAGAAATAGTATATTAACCACATAACTATTTTTAATATTGGCTCCAATAAATAATATTAATAATCGCTAAGTGTTTTCTCGTCAATACTACCTTAATTATATATTGTTTTACAACCAATTTTTACAATAAATAAATAAATATTAAAATGCATTCTCTTTTATTGTATTTTAGATACTTGGCATAATATGTATGGCCTGTGCGTCACCTGCATACATATCAGCAACATCATTTTTCCTCTTTGTAGTAGTCATATCTTTTATTGCAACTATTCTATGGATTTTTGCCTATCTTCTGGGCATTCGGGAAGCACTTAATGTAGCCATTAATTGGATTTTCACGGTAAGTAGACTATGGAAATTTTTTGTCTTATAATACAATATTAAACTATACAAAAAAAATGGCTTCTTCCAAAAAGAACAGCAAAATCAGTTATCAAATATTCTTCGATTGCTATTAACCAAAAAAAAAAATACAATAACAGCTAGACTAATTTTCCCTAAAATATAAAGTTTTAATTTGAAACTCAAGCAAGAATAGTTGTATGGCTTGTATGGCATGGTTTTTAATCTAAACTTGAAGCAAAAAATCAAAAAGCACAACGTAGGACTATAATCCATTGAAGCCAAATCGTAGAAAAAAAATGTGAAAATATCTTCATCATTAGTTCATAAAGAACCGATTGACAAAATTCCATCCCAGTAATCAAGGGAGACAGGAATGGTCATGAGAATTAATACATATTTAACAAGCTTTACACAAAACATCTAATCAGATAGCACAAAAAAAAGGAAAACGAAACAAAGACCTCTATCTAATGAAAAAGGTAATATAAAAGCAAGACAACAGAAAGTTTAAATTATAAATTTATACATTCAATATTTAGAATCGTAAAGATTGCAGAATTGAATGTGAAAAGATTTCAGTCATCGGTTCTTAAAAACCCGTAATTAAAACTCCATCCCAGAAATTAACTGGTCAAGAGAATCAATATTTATGAAGCCAAATTTATTTTAATCACAAAGTATGAAGAAAACTAAAGGTTAGGGCTACTGAAAGAAGTGAAATAAAAAAAAGCAGAAATTAGATTATGTATATACTGTACATTCTAGTTCATAAGAAACACAGTGAATAAAGTGTGAAGCCAAATTCATCTTAATCTTGAAGAAGAAGAAAAGTATAAGATTAGGGCTACTGAAGGGAGTTTAATAAGAAAAAAGCAGAAATTAGATTATGTATATACTGTACATTCTAGTTCATAATGAACACGACTACACAGTGAATAAAGTGTGAACAGGCTTTAGCCATCGGTTTGTAAAAAACTGATAGCCAAAATCCCATCACACTAATCAAGAGCCGACAGGAGTGATCAATTTACAACTTAGGATTGAACAAAGCTGTGGAAAATTAATGGAGTAAATGGAATGAAGAGAAAAAAGCAGCAATTAGCTTAGGTTATGTTTATACTGTACATTCAGGATCGTAAGGAATATAATAAGGAACATAAGGAACAGAGTAAAAAAATGGAGAATTTCGCTTGGGCTTCTCAATAAAGCAAAGTAATAAAGAAATCTTGTGAACTAAGTATTTAAGCATTGTAGTCATAGATGAAGTAAGATTTCTAATTACTAAAAACGTATTACATTAATAAAAGAATCAATTTGTTAAATAATATTAATTTAAGTTATATCCTATTCAAGTACTTAGTAGACCAATAGTAATAAATTAATTTAATATTAATTTTAGTATTACATTTAGTTTTATTATTAAAACAGTGCTACGTTATACCAGTTGAGAAAATAGTTTTAATTATAACTGATTACTGTATAAATGATTTTAATTAGTTTATAATGCAATGAGAAAAAAATGAAATGCATTAAAAGAATATTTAAGTCCAATTGTAGATACTTCTTATGTGCATTAATTATACTTAAAGCAGATTTTTTGCTCCACGGTTCATGAGCAATTCTTCTAATTTACCTCTAATTTTCTTTTTATCTAATATTTTCATCAATTTCGGTTTTTACTGCTGCAATAGAACGTACGCATTGCTATGTGAACATGCATGTGCCGCCAACTACAAAGTTTTATATATGGATGTTATAATTCTATATAAATTTTTTTAAATGCATAATTTTTTTTTTTTTTGTTATATATTTAAGTCTATAATTAATGAATACCACTTATTTTTTAAGGAACTTATTAATACTGCCATTGCAACGGTTTTATACTTCATCGCCTTTGTTGTACAATTGGCCAAGTGGTCATCATATCCACACAGTTATGGTTATGGTTCAAATATAGCTGCCGGAGTCTTTGGTCTATTCAACTTTTTGGCTTACGCCGCGGGTTCATATTTTCTTTACTTAGAATTTAGAAGTGGAGCCACACATTAGTCAGCAACACAGCCCAATAAAAATGTTCACCAACTACACTATTTCAAAGCAACCATTGCTCCATTCGCTCGCCCACCCACCAACTAACTCACCCACGTCACGTGTCTATTTGTCACTTCTCATTCACTTGGATAATCCAGTGAACAGAACAATTATATATAGTCATGAAAACAATAGCAAAAACGTTTAACATTAAAAGAAATATTTAAACAAAACAAAAAACAATAAATAAGTAAATTTATGTAAATCAATAATAAAAATAATAAAATTTTCGCTCAAAACATTTTCATATTTAAAATTAATCTTAGAAGCACTTCAATTTAAAATTACTTTAATATTAAATAATTGAAAACAATTAAAAAAGCATTTTTTTTAATTAACATTGCAACTGTTCAAAAAAAAAAAGGATTATTTTTGTTCATTAATTAATTATAACATATATTTTTTTTAAGTAAATATTGTTAATATGTTGATTTCTTAATAAAATAAACAAATGCAAAATATATAAATTAACTTAATATTTCGATTGATGTTTAATTAAAAATTATTTTTTTTATGTAATAGTATAAATATATAATTAAATGTATTTTATATAACTTAAGAATATGTAAAAATATATATTTATATATAAATATATTTACAAAAATAAAAAAAATAAAATTTAAATGTATTTTCATTATATATGTTAAGATAATTGATATTTCCAAGTGACTACGCAAGTACCGGGAGGAAGTAGCATGCAGAAGTCCCATCTAGCAATATAACATGGAATAAAGATGAAAGGTAAAATTGTGATAAGATTTGGTACTGACGTAGAGGTACTGACGTAACTCATAGAATGATATGGTTGGTTGTTAATAGTGGCGACAAAACTTACTTCTCTGTCCACATATTCACACACCGGGATATGAAATATTCTAAGCTGAATATTCTGAAAGATCTATATTTGGAATGTCTTTAACTTGCAAGCCTTGGATATTTGCAAACGAAGTGTGAACTTGTTTTTGTTTCTTCTTCTTTGCAGCTTTGCCATTTTCGTCTTTCAGCAACATCATGTTTTACTACTTTGATCTTAACTCTGCTCAATAGAGTTTTCGTTCTCGATGAAGTAAAGATTGGCTATATTATTTGGAATTTATTGGAAAATCTTAAGCTTGTCATACCCGGACATTTGCAAAGTAGTGCTCAGTCGCTTGTTTTTTTTTCTTCAACTTTGCAGCTTCTACATTTCAGGTTGATGAAAATATTCAATTTTTCGGTATGGGTGAATACTGACCAATGACCTGTCAGAAACCCCATGATTATTTGCTACATCTGCCTAATGGATTTTTGTTTTCGACGGAAACTCGGATTTATTCGTTACTGCGTAACAATTAAATATATAGGCGATAGTAAGAGTTTTACAGCAACATCTGATTCGTTGATTTATAAAAACTTCAAATTGGAAACCGACTATTTGAGAATCGAATAGCAACACATAAGAAATTCTTAAAAAATATACTATATTGATGTTAAGAATTATTTACTTTTTGCGGTATTTGATCTCACTGATGTTTTACTCCGTTGTGATAGCCGATATTTTCGAGCCACGAAGGGGACGATCGACGTAATATAACAAGAAAGTACTAATATAATGAGTAATTTAAGATTGAGATCTTGTTCATGTGGCATAATATGGAGAAATTCCTTGGATACCAGGTCATTGCACTATTTAAAAAAAAAATACGAAGCCGTACACTTTTTTCATGGATTTTATTGATATGCTTGGAAACTTCCACCGCACAGCAGGAGCACTAATTACCAGGTATTTATGGTATATATTTTCTTGTTTTGTTTAGTTTATATTTTTATTTAATTTAATTTTTATCTAATTGCTTAGATATGGGCAGATTGAATTATTTAAAAAAAAAAGTGGTTTAATATTACATGTAAGTATAGTTATATATAACATACGATGAGAGCGAAATGTTGTTGTTGTAGTATCGCATAGAGATCTGCTGGTGTACTTCTTTTTAAGACAGGTGAACGAGTGACTTTTGAGTGGTCTCGGACTCTCGGAGACAAATGCCTCCGGGAACCATAGAAGTTAGTTGTGACCTGCAGTATCGAAATTAGATATACTTGGAAACTTCCACCATACTGCTGAGACAGTAATAAGCAAGTATTTACAATACATCTTTTGAAATAGACTAAATAGACTGATAGAAATATTTTATATAAATATAAAATAGACTGATATAACATTTAAAATTAATTTAATTTATATGTAATTGCTTAGATATCGGATGATTGAACTGTTTTAAAAGAAGTATGTTGATTTTGCATGAAAGTGAAAGTCAGGTGGAGGAAACTGATATGCTTGGAAGCTTTGCCTGTATAGCTGTAGCAGAAATAAGCAGGTATTTATTTACATTCTTATCTAATTAATTGGTTATTAAACTTGCATTCTAACTATTTCGGAAATCAAAACAATATCTTAAGTTATTAAATAAATTGATATAATTTAGTTTTAAGTCTAATTTCTTGCTTTAAATTCTTATTTTGTTTTTGTTCTTGTTTTTGTTTTTTTACATGATTCATAGTATGTCCAATTTTATAACTATTTTTATATATATTTCCTTTAAAAGGTTAAGATACAAAAAAGCTTTTATTAAACCAAAAATATTAAGTTACAGTTTTAGTACAATATATTGTTTAATAAGATTTTTTTATTTATTTTTATTTAAGAACAGAGAATTTTTCAAACTTTAAATTGTTATTAATGTTTTTATTTTTCAAATGATATTTGCTTAGTTTTTCTTATTAAATAACTTAAATTTAACAAATAAACTAATAGTTTTAATTGTTTAAAGACATTTACATTTAAAATTAGAATTGATGATTAAAGTGCTTGAACTATATAGCTTTACTGTTAAAATGATATTTAATCTTTATAATTCAAATTATTCACAATTGTTGTTAATTATTTATTACAGTTTCATTATAAAATATTTTAATTCAAGAAACAACAAAATGACTTTTAAAAATCATAAAATGATTTTTTTTTAATATTTAAAAAAATAACACATATTTATATTTTAAATAATATTTTTTAAATATATAGTTATTTACTGTTTCTATGTTTTTAATTATTACAAGATATTTTGATGTTTCAACCATAAAAATCAATTTAAACTAATATGTTGTTATTTCAAAAAAAAAGTTATGATGAGACCTAAATAAGTCTTTATTTTATTATTTATTTAAAGAACACTTTGCGGATTATGTATAAAATAAAAAATTAAAAGATTGCATTAAAAATGAGTTCCAGTCAAAATAGTATATACTTTTTGAACTAAGTTTTATTTCAAATTTATGGATATGTATTATTTTCTTATTTACTTTACTATTAAATTTATTTATGGCTTTTTAACACAGAATATAGTACAAGAAATAATTTATAGGCATAATTCGGATTTCCAGTCCAAACCGAGTTTACATTGGGTTTTATTAGTCTATTATTATGAGCAACTGTCTTAACTGTGCTTTAGTTATAGTCAAATTTCTTACTTTTCTAGATATCGAGGTTTAAACTGTGAACATTTTTCATTGATTACATTTATAACAAATATACAAAAGCTATTTATTGCCAACTGATATATGCTATTATTACATTGATTACACAAAGAGCAAATAATTTATTCTGCGTCAATTATTTCCTTCATTTTTGAAATATACATATATTAACACTTCATACAGATTAAAAATAATCTTTATACCTGAATTTTTATACCAGATTTACAACTCGATATCTTAAAAGCCAAGCTATATTAACATATAGCATTGTTCCAAGAACGGCCGGGTGTTCGCCACCTCCCAAAAGGACTTCACAAACACGTCCCAACGGGTTACAACAAGAATAACATATAGCGTTGTTGGATCTGCTTGTGTTATCTTTTGTGCACGTGTCGAACGGTACTTCATCGTCGACTTAGACGAGTGACTCTGGGACGTTGACCCAGCCGTTCTTGAAACCAGATATAGCGTAGCTTAAAGTGCTGTTTAATTGTATTTACTTAACTCTATTGTACAAACAACTTGTCCGTGAAATTAAAATCATGTCAACCGATTGTTTTTAATCTTATTTCTGTATTATATATATTTTTTGTAAATTTCAAATTAAAATACTAATTAAAAAATCCATAAAAAATCCACAAAGCTGGCATTATCAGTGAAATCTTACATATTACAAGTTCTTAACAGTCAATAGAAACATACACTTATTTTACCGCATGCTTTTTTACAAATATATTTTTTTTTTTGTAAATTTTGTGTATTATTTTTAGTCCCATTCATCCTTTTTGTATAAAAAAATTGATTAATAAAAATAATATATAATTTAATAGCTTAAGTTCAAGCACTTCGTATTATTTATATGTATTAGAAAATGTAGTTGATTGGTCTGTGTGTCTGTTAATATTTTTTATTAGTTTTAATTAAGCAAACATTTAATTAAACATTTATATTAAATACAAAAATATTTTATTATAAAATTATTAAATTACACCGAGCATTTATAAAGGCCTTTTTTTAATAAATTAAATTAATTACAAAAAATTTTAAAAAAATAATACAAAATGTTGCGCTTTTTAAGAAATTTGTTCTTAGCATTTTTCAATATATGCACTTAAAAATATTATTAATACAAACTAATACGAACGAATTAATGACCGTATTTTTCTTATATATGCATATAAATATATATATATATGTATATATTTTTACTACTTTAATTTACCGACGCTTTTTAAAATTTTTGTATTAACTACAAAAATGCGAGTTATTGTTTTAGTATCATTTTGAATATATTTTTATATATAATTTTATATTCATAATCGTCACATACATTTTATAATTTAAATTCTTTTGTTTATAAAAAATTAACAAAAGTATAAATATCAAGGGCTCATTGGATACAATGTCTATCACTTGTGTAAACTAAATCCAAATGAAAATCTCAACTAACAGCGGTGTATCCTTTTTTTTGCTAAGGATCTGACAGAAATGCCTTCATCATACGACAATAAACAAATAAACTAACATTGCATTTTATTTGCGTATTTTTTAATTATATTAAATACTTTTTCATGTTTACTTCTTCACTTTTATTTATAAGCATATTAACTAATAGTTATATTTTTCATTTTCAATAATAAATATACAATATACAGCAGTGTGTTATTTAAAACAAATAAAAATAACATTTTTAAAATAAATTTAAAAAAAATCTAAACAAATAAAAAGTTCCTCAGCAAAACTGAGCCAATAGTTTTTTAAACACAAGTAAGGAATTTAAACATAAAAACTTAATACATAGAATTGAGCTTACTTGTTCGTATTTATAAAAATCAAGCTAAATTGCAAATTTAAATAACTTTTAAATGTTTACTAATTTTTTAACTCGTAGTATCAATCATCGCTTTCATTATCTTTTTAATGGAATTTGATTATATTAGTCAATAACGTAAAAAAATACTTCATTGACTAATGTTATGAGCCAGTGCCATTCTGTCTTTCATTTTACTTTTACATTTTAAAATCCCTAAAATTGCATATTATTTTTAGCACTCGCTTTGCGAGAAATCCATTTCTTTTTTGACGCTCCTCGACAAACGGTCCAATTCAGCTGCCGCATCTGTTCTGACTGCTAGTTTTTCAGGTGTTAGATGCATATCGGAGCCATTCATTCGGGGGGAGCTTGCCGCTACAGGTGGTGTGCCAGGTGAACCAGATTTCTTGTGCAGCAATGAGTTGAAGAAATTGGCGAGAACGCCTTCATTGCCAGGCGTTGCAGGATTAAGTTTGGCATCCATCTAAAAGATATTATATACATTTATAAATTATTTTAAAAAAATTTTAAAAAAATATCTAAAACTTTAGTGAAAGAGCTTTACTTAGTATTTCACTTTTATTTATCTAAATTTAAAAAAAAGAAAGGACAAGAGACCAAGCAGTCCGGTTCCTTATTCCGGACTGCTTAATGTTAACTCACAAATATATAAATGAAATAAAATACTCCATATTTAATATATATCGTTCTCCATACATAAACTTTTTCCACTTATTTTCTAACAGAAAACGTAATGTAAGTATGTTCCAAAAGCGATCTGGTAAAGACACGATTCGAAGAGTGACCGAATTTACATCCCAGAACTATCCATCTACATAGAAGTCCAAGTGTTGTCCACTCCTCGAAACAAAGTCCGGAAATCAGGTATGTGCTCATTTTAAAATTTGTTGTACATTTAAGCTTCTTCCACAATGAAGTAAGTTGCGACCAACTTATTTTGTTTTTTTAATTCTTTTTATGGCCAATATTAAATAGTAACTTGATCCCAAATGTGGAAATTTGTTCTCCTGGCACTGCACTATCTGCAATCTCAAAATAAGCAGAAAGTCAACATCTGTTAGATGCAACGGTCGCAATAACTGGTGTCACCCGTTAGATGCAACGGTTGCAATAACTGGTGTCACCCGTTAGACGGTTGCAATAACTGGTATCACCCACTTTGCTATTCTGGATTAAATAGTTATTCTAATTGGAACAACACATTTCGAGCACTTGCTGTCATTTCTTACACGCGCTTATCGGACAATCTGCTTCCTTGTCCCCACCCAAGTGTTATAATGTAATCAATCCATCCTTCCACCCCTGTACCCCTTGTTTCATCAAGCACATCCGTATATTCTCTTCACAATAGACCTCAATTATACTACAATTGGTGTCATCTTACACCTTGCTTTAAATTCGCTTTGCATCGTAATTAGTACTCGAACATTGCATTTGCATTTGCTGCTAACATCTAGCCATAAATCATCCCGAGAGTAGCTTACTGTAACAACATTGAACTAGTTTCATAAAAGGCTTTTCACTTATTCGTCAGAAACGCCCACTCCCCACTCCTCGTAGTCCGAAGTCTGAAGTGGTGTTTCTGCGACGTGGTTCCCTATCATATTGTGAAATCTTGACTCCATAGAGATGAAACTTTACACTAATAGAAATTTAAATGACAAAAAAATCTACCCGCCACCTCCCTTTAGCAGCCCACCGCAATAAACCACAGGTATTCCTCACTTTTTTGTTAGAGACATGAGTTTTTTTATCGTGTGATTGAAATGTGCATCATCATCCGTTGTTTTCCAACTTACAACCTGATCAGAAGGTTTTGCTGTTGGCTACTTAAATCGTTAAATTCTTAGGGTCCTAAATGATAATTTATCGACTAAGGTAGTGCCTAACTGCGCAAGCCTTGCAAGTTTAGATCTCTTCTGATTTGAACATAACAGACAAACACTTCGCAGTGTTGTTATTAATTCTGCTGTCTTAGCTACTTCTGCAAGTAGGACACATAATCTGAGTACAAATTCTCCATATATTCTGAGGCTGGGCTTTTAATCGAAAAATGTGATTGTGACTACACCCAACCAATCCACATATAAAGACAGCAAAATTTTGAAAATGGTGGACCTTTATCGAGAGAATATTTGGAAACTTGTGAACCCCGAAATGATAAATTGTGGTTTACTAATAAAGGTATTTTTATATACTAACAAGAAAGTGATAAATTTCAGTGAAAGCACAACAGCTATTTCCTTGCAATGTATACAGAAATAAACCTACTTTCTCTCGAAGACAAAAGCGTATATACTGCGCAAGCAACAATCCAAGATCAGGCCAAGACTATGAAGGCATTGTACCCAGATGGCATATCTATGCTTATGCATAAGCACTTTGGACCACGTTAAATTGCAACTCATATTTTATGTAATGTAATTAGCCCACAAATCATTTTCAACGTATAAAAGACTGGTAGAATAATTCCCCTGTTGAGCCGAGTACACCGTCAGGGGAAAGTAACTCCCCCACCTATATCTCCAATTGCTCTAGATTCCTTGCTTTGTAAGCAGATATTCAAATTTATTCACATTGCCTCCCATCAACATGGGTTTAGGAAGTGTCATAAAACCATCACAGCTCTCTATGAGATCACTTCTAATATACCCTATGGTATTATCCAAAAATCTTTTTACAACCGCACAGTATGGTTGACTTTAATTACACTAAAGTATTTGATTCAGTCTCCCATACGGTTTTGTTTAACGAAACCTTGATCGAAACTACCATCCACGACTCAATAAGACGTTAGGCGCTCATGGCTGTTTTTGGGGACATGATAAAAAACTCTGTTGGCAACATTATAGCATTAGAGTAAGCTATTGCGTGATTTTCTATTGTGTGTTCTAACTGCAGCTGACGTTACTCATCTATTTTCTTGTCAAATTGCATACACGAATTTTAGCCCTATTGATGCATAGTCCATGAATACACCGTTAACGCAATAAATGCAACATTAGGGAGATCAAATATTGACATGAAGTTTCAGTCCTCTATACCGCATAAGTAACCTTTTCGCGGCCATAGTTCTTTGAATATACAATTCAATATTACGTACAATTACGTACGTAGTATATAAACAATTCTATTGCCAATATGTGCCCAAGCTACGGTTCAACCCTTAATAACATCGCCATCTGTTTTCATAAACTCACACATATATTTAAGCTCTATAACTCTGTTCCATTCAAACTGCAGAATTCCTTCCAGTTGACTCTGTTTGGTTTCAATTAGCAACTTACTCACACAAAATTCCTTTACCTACTTTTAACGATCTACCAAATAACCTCCATATATCGAAATCCATGTACTTTTTTAATTAATTAATATTGCTTTTTCTACAGATCTTTTCGAGTTATGACAAGAACAAAGAAAATCTGACGTCGGACATCATAAACAATAATCTGAAAAAGAACTGAAACGATATGACGATCTAAAAACCAGGGTTCGTATTTGCTCACTCATGAGCAGCTCAGGCTCATGAGCAAGAGCCAATTCTTACGTGAGCCCAAAATTGGCTCATGAGCGTGAGCCCATAATTGGCTCATATTGAAGAGCTGCTCACCAGCGTGAGCCCTCAAGTTGCTCATATTGAAGAGCTGCTCATGAGGTCTTACGAGCAAAGAGCTCACGAGCTCACTAGCTCAACTTTAATAAAAAGCGATTTACTAGTTTATTTGCTTTATTTATTTTTATAAACGTTATATGTAAAAATATATAATTTCATATTAAAACAATATAATGAAACAATAATTTGAATTTGAAAAACAAATTTATAAAATATTATTATTTTTTTTAAACAATAAAAATATATTTATTATTTATTTTAGGAACTTGATTATGTCCATATTTTAGTTAGTTCAAGGTTATTAATATTTTTAATGTTTTTAATAACATGTTTTCACAAAAAAAAATAATAGCAAAATTTTAAATTGGGCGCATAAGATCTCATGAGCCGCAGCTCATACTCTTGCTCACGTGCGTGAGCCCATTTATAACTTAATGGCGGCTCTTGCTCGTGAGCGTGAGCTCTGTGGTTGGGCTCGCTCGTGAGCGTGAGCCATCGTATGAAAAGAGTTTTTTGCCGGCTCACGAGCCGTGAGCAGAATGAGCCGAAATGAGCCGCTCATGGGTACGCAAATACGAACTCTGCTAAAAACAATAGGGAATATGAACGTACGAAATTAGGGATGAAATTGCGTTCGGCTGAAACCTATTAAATGCGTACACAATGCAATTGCCGAAGAGATGTTTATTCAGATGAGGTGGATTGAGCTGTGTTAACATCCTATTACATAATACTTATTGCAATTCTACTCAGACGTCTAACGCCTAATGCTAGGAACCATTAAGTCAACTACTGAACAATACCACAATCAATTCTTTTTAAATGGCAAAACTTTTACTACAAATGCGAACGTGTATCAGTTCGGATCAGTAATTTACCAGTTAAGGTACGAGGGCGGTTTGATAAGTCAATGACTTTTTGAATTTCCCGCACAGTTACTTCAAATGCAACAGTGCTGCCGTCAGCTGTAATCTATCAGTGGGCAACTTTTTAATTTTGAACAAGCTCGTTCAGTTGGTGTTTGATAGCCGTTCAAAACAGACAACCTCGTGAATTTTTACGAAAATGGAAAAAAGTGAATTTCGTGTGCTGATTAAGCATTACGATCCCAAATCCACGAATTGGGATACGAACTGCTACCCCATTGAGCATATTCGCCAGATTTAGCCCCCTGCGACTATTTTCTGATTTCAAACCAAAATAAATGGCTGGATGGTAAGAGATTTGAGTCGAATGAAGAAGTCATTACCGAAACAAACGCGTATTTTGAGAGCTTTGAGAAAACCTATTATTTGAAGGGAATAAGAAAATTAGAAAAACGCTGGACTAAATGTATCGAACTAAAAGGTAATTATGTAGAAAAATAAAATGTTTATTTGCCGAAAAAAAATTTGTTTTATTGAAAAAGTCACTGACTTATCAAACCGCCCTCGTATTTGATTAGGATGAAATTATACTGCTGATAGTACGTATTGAAGAATTATGGAGAGTATATAATTTAATAAAATGTTTTTTCACTATAAGAAAATCGTCTTTCATTTTCACCAAAAAACTTTTTTCTAACATTTCAAATAACTCAAAATTTTAATTTAATAATTAAAATATATGAAAAGTAGCGACTATTTTACTTAATTTAAACTATTATATTAAATGGTGGTGAATTGTAACAACAAAATTGGATCAGTCGACTATTAAACACTGACTTGGAGCTTTAAATTTGGTACTTGCAGTCCTAAAAATCAATTAAATTTAAAAATTAAACGAATATTAATTTATTTATTTATATTTAATTATAATAAATAAATCCAAGACAATTGATGATGGATTGGCAATTTCGGGTACCGTACAGCTGTACGGTCAACTCATTTAATCAATTGATTAACAAAAATAAAAACTTTGTTGTTACAATCCACTACTGTTCGAAACCTCTCTATTAATTATAAATATAATTTAGGGATGACTTTCATGAAAGCAAGAAATCGCGTATACATATATGTTTAAAATGTACCAACATATATAATAATAAAAAATTATACACCAAAAAATAAAATGAAATTTGAAAAGTAACTTATATATCACTTATATTAATCAAATTTTTTATATTCGTCCTGTGCGCAATAAATAATTTCTTACCTTTTTAGGTGAGCTTTGTCCTCCAGAGCCTGGCGTTCTTGGCATAGCTTTAGTACCACCTTGTGAACGTAAAGGTGATTCTCCGCGTACTTGGATACCTTGTTTAAGCATTTCCTGTTGCCTCGCTAAGAATGCTTGCTCATCCTCAGTTTGCACTTCAGCTTCTCGATTTGAAACAGTCTGAAATATATATATGTATCAATAATATATTTAGAAATTGAATATAAATAGTAATTACTTTTCTTGAAGGAGGTGGTGATATGATATCAGTGTAGTAATCTTCTGCCTTACATGAGTGCATATTTTCATATAATATACTAATTTTTTTCAAACTATCCCAACCTGCTGGTCTGTAAAAAGAAATATCAATTTTATTATTACATAGTTGTTAAATAAATTAAGAAAACAATATAGGTCTAAATAAAAATCTAAAAACAATAATATAAGTTAACCTTCAATGGACGTAAGTCAATATTTTTTGATAAGTATGTCATTGTGTTGTTGTTGTTGTGGAAATCTGCTTTTAAAATTCCTTTGGGGGTGTCAAACGTCACTTGATCGTCGAGATTGACGAGTGGTTTCGGGACGTAGATCTGTTGTTTTTGGAACCAGTATATATATCATCATTATCTTTAGTGGTTGTACCAGATCGGGTTTGACCTCAACAGTCTCAAGGCACTTTATCCATCTAATTCACTTTTGTTTTTGCCTAATAGTTGTTAGTAACTTTTCATTCATCATCTGCTACTTTGTCCAACTTTCCATCTCGAGTTATTTCTCAGGTTCTTTTTCATAGGAATTGTGCTTTTAGTATTTTATTGAGTGTATTGTTCTCACCGACTTTGAGTAAATGTCCTATTCTTTTTTTCTAGAGATATTAATAACTATTACAATGCCTGGTTGGATATAAAACTGATCATTTTTTTCACTGTATTAAATATTAAGTCCATTTTCGTATATTTGAATTAATGTCTTCATATCTACTTCAATTTCTAATTGATCAATATTATCATTATATCGAATATTGGGTCCGGTTTCGTTTATTGAACCCAATATCTTTATGAAAAAACGTCTTTCGAAGGCAATAAGTGGAATATTTGCTGCATCAAAAAGAACTGATTTTGTGCCTCTGATATGCGAGATCCACAAGAACAATATCATTATGTTAAAGTCCAAATAAGGCAGTAACCAGTATAATCCTTTTACCAAATTGTATCCTTGGTCTCCTTGATCATGAATACAGTGAAAATTACATCACAGTGGAAATATTTTTGACGACGAGTTCTAATTTTGTCACCCAAGTAAAAAAGTAAATAAGAAACATAAGTAAGTATAAGAACTATTCTCTTCAAAGCAACTCTTTCGACGGTAAAATTCCGTACTCTTGTTACCGATCATATTCATTCTAATTTGCAAACGCTTCTTATCCTTACTGTTGTACTCTTCCTCATATTATCATTCATCTCCATTTCTGAACCATTGAAGCCCCACTATTATGATAGGGCGAGTGTGTTGTTTGTTTGTTGACTTCACATGAATACAATAAAATAAATCATATCAATCACTAGGATTGCTTAATTCCCGAAATTCAAATTATCCTCGTATAACTAAATAAATTTTATAATTTGACTTGTACGTTTATATGATTCTCTATTAATATACGGATCATCTTAAATTATAATTAGGGATAAGTTAAGTTGCGATGCGACTCTGCACCACATTTTTTCAAATGAAAACAAAAAATTAACGCTTTTCGCAAATCATCACTTTCTGGTACAAAATTCGACATTTTTAACACGATGAAAAAATATGATGTTGTCTGTTCAATGACTTGATGTACTATATATATTTCACACATGTCATAGCAAACAAACAAAAAGAAATAAAGGCTCGTTCACAACAAATGTTCCCTGTCGGAACATTTGTATCTCTTCGCTCACTTCATACCGGTACACCTGGTATTTGATGCCTATATTTGAATTTATTTTATCTTTACAATTGTTATAACTTTACAGAAATGGAATAATATAACAAAATATAATAATAATATAAAATACTTACATTAACACTGCATCCTTTTCAACGACTAGTGCAGGCGTTCGGAATGGTAAACCATAAATTCGATGTGTTAAGTATTTATAGAGGAGATCACAGTTTTTGTCTTCTTTTACACTTGTGTAAAAAAGTGATGTGCCATATTGTAAGCAAAATCTTCTAATCCATTGTTGTATAAAATCAAAATGTTCGTCTCTATAATCGTATTCTTTCTCTAATGTTGTCATGTAATCCGTCTAAAAACATTAAGAATAATTATTATTATTATTACATTATATAGATATTAAATGATATAGCAGACCTTTGTGACTACAACAACAATATCAAGACCTAAATTTGTTAGAAGTGCACCTTCTGTGAGTGGTAATAAATCATCCTCATCTATTGAATTATTTCTCATCGTGCGTTTTACCGGTGAACCCGGATCTAAATCATCACCAACTTCACAATAACTTTGCCATGAGGTGATTAAACGTTGTCGTGCTTCTTGTTTATCTTCAGGCTTTATTTCTAATTTTTCAATATGCTCGGATAATACTTTTATCCAATGATTGAGCTGTTCAAGCCAACCCCATGGTTGAGTCATTGAAACTGTGAGAATTACGAGGGTATGTGCATAATTATTTTCATTTAAAGCGAAACGTAAGAGATTTGTATGTCCTGGATCACCATCAAGAACCCAAACTCCTAACCTTGTCATATCTGAAAAAATAATATTTTAACAATTATCTTCTTAAATATGATATAGATATGATATAAATTTTTAACTTACCTTCTCTATATTCATCTTTAACATCAATGTAGGCATATTCCAAACCGGAACCTTTTTTAGGATCTTCGACACCTTGTAATTTGGCTATTAATGTTGTTTTGCCAGTGGCATTATCGCCTAATACTAGTACAGATTTATTTGATGGAAGTTTTGTGCTGCCTTGTTTTTGTACTTCGCTCAATATAGCGGACCTAAAATTAGATTAAGAAATTATTATCAGTATTTAAACAAGAGAAATGTTATATATATCATGTATTTATATTTATATAATTATAATCTATAGCTACTTATATGTGTTTTTATATATGGCAATCAAGTCAAGGGGATTTCAACATGCACTAGTTGCTAATCACAACAAAATCTTAGATGTGTCTCAAGACGAATATATTCTGTATATTATTTTAACATAGTGTCCCATATATTACTTACGCTTTTGACGCCACTAATGACTATATTTGACTATATCTATAACTATATTTTATCTCTGGTAGTATAAATTTAATTATTTTTTATTCCTTATAACTGTAATTATTGCTTTTAATTTAATGAAACACTTTTTAAATGACTGGGGTAGTAGTTTTCATTTACCGATCTGATTTAGTCTCATAAACTTCTTACAAATGGATTTAAAGAACCGCTGAGTTATTGTTATTAAATAGAAATGCAATTACTTTAATTGCTAAACAATTTAATAGAATTACAAATAAATAAAATTGTATTATCATAAAAAAAAATTGGCATTAAATTATTCATCCTTAGATATTCTTCACTTTGCATCAATTACTTACTCTTTTTGTACTATTTTTTTTATGGACTTCATATCGACTTTAATGCAGTCGTAACTATCCTTATTTTAATTTAACTACTTAGTAGCCTTAAACACGAAAAAATATCTCAACTTTTTTAAGGTATTGTCCGAGTTCAAGAAAATGGATTTCCACTTATCGTTTTTCCATTAAATTAAGTTGATTAGTTTTTTTACTATTTCAGATTACTTCACTAAGGAACTTTGAAGCTCAATCAAACTAATTGAAATTTAAATACTTATATTAACAAACAATAGCGATTCCAACAATTTTTGCATGCAAAAACCAGCTTTTTTTTATTTTTATATCTGACAACATATATTTAAAATGTTCTTTCCAATTTTTAGCGAAAAAGCAATAAAGGCAATCCAATTGACATGCAAAACAGGACAATTGAATAAGTAATGAAATTCTATATCCTTTAAACGCCAACTGTTGAGAGAATCGAATCGTGTATTTGTGTTTCGTCGTAACAATAAGACCATCTACTGGGTAGAAGTTGTCATAATAAATTTGTTACTACTCATTTACTATTAGCTTCACGGACGGGGTAGATTTTTAGAAATTGCTTGACTGGTGAATATTTAGAACCTTTATATTGATTTTTATATGTGTAAGGTGTTTGCTTCTAAGTTCATAACAACACGAACACTGCTTTAGACAGTGGCGTCTTAGTATAATATAATAATTAAAAATAAATACATATAAAATATAATAAAAGCCGTGTTTTATTTTTAGCACATATTTATATGCGTCAGAACCTACAAATAAACCTCACATTTAATTTTATAAAATATTGTGGCATACAAATGATGAATATTCTTTTTTTATATGTACTTTTACGAAGATAGCGCAAATTGGCTATGTGCGATATATTTCCCACAAAAATTAAGCGCATATCCGCAAATAATAAGAGCCTAGCCAATCCTCAATGTATAGTGTATTCGAAATTCAAAATAAGCTTTAAGTATATAGATTTATATATAGATTTAAAAATGACGTTAGCCTAGAAATTCAACAAAGAATCACTCTCACTAACATATGTTACTTCGAGCTAAGAAGGCAATAAAGCCCTCTCTCGACAACCAAAAATCACGTTCTACAAGTATCTTATCATGCCTGTCTTGCTGTATGGAGCATAAGCCTGGACAATTACCAACAGTGATGAGAAGGCGTTAGGAGCATTCGACAGAAAAATTCTTCGGAAGAACTATAATCACTTACGCGTTGGCGATAATTATCGAATTAGATGGAACAAAGAGCTGTATGAGCTATACCACGACATTGACATAGTAAAGCGCATAAAAATTCAGCGGCTTCGCTGGCTAAGTCATATTGTGCGAATGGAAGAAAATTCGCCGGTTAGAAAGGCAACTCGACGCGGCTAAGGACGACTAATGTCTGTAACCGCCGACTAAGTAAGTAAGTAAGATTTAATGTGTTCTAAGTCACAATGTTTTGAATATTGAGACTCTTTCGCACGAATACGACATTGATGTTGACCTTAAAAGCCGTGATAGTTCAAATACATTCCAAATCAGACCTATTACGCTCAATCTCTGACAGAATATGGGAGTTTAACATGCTCAATAAAGAAGTTATTGGCTAACATATATGGAACTTAACTATAGATGAGATGAGAATAAATACTTCCAATTCCTTTTGAATATCTCCACAATAAACACCATATTCAAAACGAGTGTAAAAGTCAAGCTACTAAATTTTTTTTCTAACTTACAATGTACTGCAGTGGTACAGACACTCCACAACCCGGAAAATTACAACAGTGTTGTTCAATTTCTGAATAGGTATTCCTGCCCAATTTTAGAAGAACTAAGAAGTCATTTTTATGACTAAAGCTGAATAAGTAACAAAATATAGAAGCAAATTTATAAATATACAATTTAAACATAAATAATAAATTGTATTCCAAACTATATAATAATACCAACAAAAGGTTAACACTATGATGTACAACAGTACAAAATTATATTATAAATAATAATTGCGATGTATAAACTATAAGTATTTTAATTATTATTACTTTACGAACCATATTAATTATTAAATAAATTCATATTATTTAATATAAATTATTAGACTACATAAATATATAAAAACAGGTATACGGATGAAGTAGATTGAGTGTCCATCCCAATTAGCTAAGAAAGCTATTTTAATCCACATTCCTCATATTTATGGATAAAAACTTGGGCATATTAGAAGCAGCTACACTCATTGCAAGTATCTGGCCAATACCAATGCTTGAATAATCTCTAAATTTATTTTATGATTTCAATAGGTCTGTCTGAGTTTACAGAACACCACTTTTATGTGGAATGGCGGGAGATATCTAGTAATAGTATATTTCTATTGTCTTCATTAAGGCAGTTTATTTGATTTAGGTCGCTAATAAAGTTGATTAAACGTACAAAGATCTTTCATGCTCTCAATAATTTTTTTGACTTGGTTAGTTGATTGCAGTGGCCGATCAACCATGGCAGATTACTCCAATGTACCTAAATTAGCGATTTTTGCCGTTTTTCTACCACATTTCTCGCAAGAACCCCTAAGATAGAATAATATTAACTTAATATATCCCGTCGAATTTAGTGAATTTAAAAGGTCTTGATAAATTATTAAAGCAGTACTTTCCTAAAAACATATTTCTTCTGGATTTCAAAGTTGCACACTCACAGAGAAAGTGTTTTATAGTTTCTTTTTCCTACAGGTTTTCACAACTTCTGCAGTGAGGATTATGAGAAATGCGCAGTTTTTTTGTGTGGGTAACTTTATACCAATAATCAGAAAGAACTGCAGAGAGTTTTTCTGTGTTTCCAACTTGGTAGTGGAAATGATTAAATCTTAATTTAGTTAATATAAATTAATTTAGCTGCAGTGGGAACATAATATAAAATTGTTTATGGCTGCTAACTTTGCTATTGGTCAGGGGAAGATTCGAAGCGAGAGCTTCTACCGGCGTGTGATATCATTCGACCCATAAATTATGTCTATAAATTACTCTCTATGACCAAAGCCCAAATAATTTTCTAAATTCCAACACAGTAAAATTCGATGTTTATAAATACTACAAAAAATAACTTTATAGAACCACCACTGTAAAATCAACATATTTTTGCTAAGAATTGGACACTGACTCCTCTTACACATTAAAAAAATTACAAAACATGCAACACTCGTTGGCATGGTGCACGAAAAGCCAAACGAAAATATTTTCCACTATTTTGAAATCATTTTATGTTGGAGCACAATATAGTAAGGATATTCAATGAGTAATTAATAATAATTCTATATTTTTTCAAAATATTAAATTAATTTATAAATTAAATAAATGTAAAAGTGAAAATTATATATGAAATATGACTTATTATAAAAAGCGTTCGCGGAGTGAAACTCGAAAATTGGAAAATATTGATAAATTATATGTGGAACAAGTTCCCACGAAAGTGCGCGAAGAAATTCAATTAGAAAAAGTTCGCAATCTGCAGTCAAAAATAAATAACACAGACACACATCCACATACCAATACTTCGTCGTATTTCGAACGACGTAAAACCTCTGCAGAACTAATAAGTGAGGCAAAAACCTTTCTAGCCGATGTTACGCCAAATGCAAATATAAATCATCCAACAATAAGTAAGTCTAACTAAAATGTATAAGTACTTTGAATAGAATTTTAAAATTTAAATACAATTCTCACTAATAGTGGGAGGTGTGCGTTTAATCAACACACGTAGACCCATTACTCCACGTGAACCCGGTCGTGCTTTGTATGGAAAAGTGGCTCTTGCAGGCAGACCCCCTAGTTCATTTTCGTAAATATTATTATGAGTGTGAAAACAAATTTGAACTATAATAAAAATAAAATTTTCACAGATTAAGATATTTACAAGGTGAAGGAAATCGTAAACCCAAGACACCACCATTAGAACCAATTAAAAAACAAATTTATAATGAGGCAAATAAAAATGAATCTGGACTAACGCATAATCAACGTAAATCACGTCGTTCACAATCATTTGACTCACGTTTTGAATTCTTAGAATTACCAAGCAGTGGAAATGGCGGTAATGAAAATATTTTGGGCGTACCAACCAAGCAAGTACCAAGAATGTTGCCTGCCCTTGAAATTAAAGGAGAGCCAATGGGAGGTACTCAAATACTCTACATAAATACTTGCACCTATATGTTTATAATCTTTCATTTGTTTAAGGTGACAATAAAAAATTAGACATGGATAAAAAAAGAAACCGTTCCAGAACAGCAAAACCCGTAATAAATAGTGATATTGAAAACATAGATGTAGATTTAAATAAAAACTCTAAAACGGTGAATGCACTCACAACCCGAAAACTTTTCACACG